TAGTTACCATATGTAGGATTCTTCTGTAAGGTGCTGGTCTTCTGTTGGCACTTCCTTGCTGTCTGAGCTGTTTATTTCCTCAATATCTTAGTGGTCTTTGGTTTTGTTGTCCCCCAGACTGCGTGCAAATAACTTGCAGTATGTTGTCCTGTTGTGCAGACTGCCATTAGTGTCAAAACAGAGTAACAGAAAGTTTGGTCTTGGGTTAAATTTGCAGTTGTGATTAGGTGGAGTATTTTGACTAATATGTTATTCAGAAAGGAAGCCAAAACCATAGCATTGGACTAAGATGGTGAAATCTGTGATTTCTGATGTGTTAGCTCTCATCAGTTGGGAAGTTTACTCTGCTATTCTTTTTCAACAGTGTGACTGAACGTATTAGCTTATTTTGCTCCTGCGCAAGGTATTGGTGTGTTGCTGTTCCCATTAATTACATGTAATTACTTTATTTTTTACATGTAAATAAAGTATGATTGAATTAAGCAGTTTGGATTAAAAAAGCCTACTGAAAAGTATTTAACAAACACGACAAATCCACCACTTTCCATGAATAAAGAATAGCAATTGAGGAGAGCATCATTATGTTGTAGTGCATTTGGCTTAAATTGCACAAATAGGCCTTTCGTTCCAAACTAATCTACAAATGGAAAAGGCATCCCACACTATTTTTACTTTGAAAATCATCCTCTGGTGTTAAGTCTCCACAGCAGAGCATAATTGGATGTGTTTTGACAGTAGCTTTTTATTTACTTTATTCACACCACTTTTAGCTTGTTTACCATCCATAATTTCCATGTTGTGGCTGACAAGTCTAAGACCCACCCGAAGACAGCAGGGGAAAATAATGCTTCAAAGCTGCACGGCGTGTAGTATGTCTCTAACATGAGATCCATCATATATATTTTTGGCAGACTATATCCCCATACAGTTCCCTGAGAGAATCTAAAAGCAAATGCAGTGATAGTGTGGATATGTAGAAAAGAAAATACTGACTTACAAAGGTATTAAATGAAAGCAAGCAAAGCCAGTAATGCCTTACATGCAGCAAGGAGTTGCTTGTGCTTTGAAGGTGAGCTCTTGCTCTTGCTATGTACATCCATTGGAAAATACCTTTTAAATGTTTAGGAGGACTTCTGTGTCCACTTTAGTAGGCATAGTCTCTATCAAAGTGGCCAATGCATCTGCCAGCATGCATCTTGGAAAGGTGGAAGAAGCTCTATCATACATAATCCCCTTCCACATGAGTAAGGTGTTGCCAGTTACACCAACCCTTTGGAAGAGCACAAGCTTGGAAGCTGATATAATATTAGAGCTGTTTGAACTATGATTTCAGTACATTCAGCAGACAGCCTTCACCATGACATTTGTCATTTTCTTTGGTTATCTGTAGTGCATGAGTAGTTTCTGTCTATGTCCACATCCTGCCGCAGTGCAGTAGACCTACTGAGCCTAAGCCTTCATCTGCCTGACATGGGCAAATCCACTGAGGTGAGGTTGATGGAGTTTCACTCCACAGAGAATCTCACCAGCTGTGTGGCATAGGCCTTGTAATTTGGTCCAGGTTATTCTGCAAAAGGTGTTTTACAGAATATCCTTGGTAATTTTTATGTATTAGGCCTTTTTTTCTTTTCCACTGCCCGAAATGTTCACTGCTACAGAGGCCGCTGAACAGCATTCACATGGGCTCCAGGTAATCCAGGGTTCATGAAGCTCTGGTCTTCAGTGCTTTTTCTACTGTGTAGGCCATGCTTCCCCATTTTTTTGGCCAGATTAAGGTGCTGCTAGTGCTGGCCCACGGGGCTTAATGGCCTGTTGAGTGGTCTGTTCTGGTGGGAAGGCCAAATGAAAACCCCATCCCATAACACTAGCCAGCAAATGCGCATGAGATGGAGGTGAATAAGAAGGATAAAGAGTTCGCAGCCACCTTGATGGGAAACCTTAAGGAGGGGGTAAAACCTTTAGGATTTGGGAAGAGCTAAGCAGAGCCAGTCCCAATAAAGATGCTTTGGCTGGATTTGCCATTCTCTTTGTTTGTCGATGCGTCAGAAATTTCAGCATGGAGGACAGCGTAGACTCCATTGCTTAACTGTCCTTTTTAGCTCACATTTCCCCAGAGTGAATCCAAGCTATTGTTTAAGGGTAGTTGAAAACTTAGGCAAAACTTCTTTATATGCCACTTATGCCTAGATAATAGGCTAAATTACTTTTGGTAGTGTTTGTTAGAAATACTTCAGTTTTTTAAATTATTGCAGGTTAAAAATAAAAATTAATGGGAAATTACTTGGGTTTTTTCCCTTTTTTTTTCAATTCTCCTTTCTCACCAAACATTTGTAGCTTCTCAAGGAATTTCACAATTACCTATAAATTGCAAACACAAGCTTCCCAGGGAATTTCCCTAGGTAAAAAAATTTTCCATTCAAGTTTCCAAGACAAAATGTTCCCTCTTCCTAGGGAAAGCAAATGCATCTGCACTGGCAGAGCTTCTGTTCTTCCTTTATTTTGGGGAAAAAAAAAAACAAACCAAACCAAACCGAACAAACCCAAAACAACAAAACACCCCAAAATGTGACACTGACAAACCTTACTTACTTCATCATGAGTAGATTTTAAAATATCTGTTGTTCTTCTGCTATTAATGCCAAGGTTCCTTGTGCAGCTCCTGATCATTGGGGTGTGACAAGAATAAGTTTTGTGCCTAACTTTATTCGCAGATGGAAGATTGTTATTTATTATTATTTTCGCTTTAAATTTGTAGGGCAATTACTAGATTATTCCTCAGGCCTAGCTTTCGTTATGGTGACTTTATTTCTCATGCTGGCTTTATTTTTGCTTATTTTTTCCTCCCTTGAAGCAGCCATTCAAGCAGTGATTAAATAAACCAAGCATAAGTAACATGTGCAGCGTAGATGCCAAAGCATAAGTAAAATTATATACTTACATTATCTGTGTTATTATTTTTGCTTAGATAAAGGAACTGGTAGGTACTTCCTTTTATAAATTCTTAATTGTGTATTCTTAATTCTTGCTTATAACTGGCATGATCAGCTTAACAAACCCCGAATCATCCTTGTTGCATTGCATTCCCCTTCTCACCTGTAACAGGCAGGATGAGTTATCCTTTGGAGCTAAAGGAATTCTTTAGTAACTAAAGGACAAAAATACTGGCTGACTTTATTATTCTTTTTTTGCAAAATGCAGAGGGCTGCATTTGTCTTAACTACAGATCTGCTGTTGATACTGACAAAGTGCTCTTTCTGCTGGCGGTTCATGACTCGCATTTACTGTGGTCCTTTGCATACAATTATGCTGTGAAGTACCTTTGTAAGAGCTTCTATCAATAGTGTAACCAACTTGTTGTTGTTGACTTTTAACTCAATAACCCCTGATAGAATCTCCTCATAGAGCAAGTGAGCACCACTTACTTTTCATATGCTTGCTCATCCTCCTGCCTGCTGGTATGTAGTGGTTTAAAGTAACAGTTCAACTACCTGTAGCTAAAAGTTCTGACTGTCCTGAATTTCTCTTCGAAATTATGTTACCTATACAGTAAAAAAGAGTGTTATTTTTTTTTTTTTAGCAAACCTGGAACCTGTCAAAAATCCACAAACCCCACTTACCTGTACTGCTTTCTTCGTATCTTTTAGCTGGGTGTTTCCAATTACATACCAAAACTGTCACATATGCATATACAGTATCTGTCATCCAGAAGGATCAGAGATAGATAAGGTGATATTTAAACTCCACATAGGTTTGCTTTGTTCATCAAAGGAATATACCTGTCTCTGGTGTGGAATACAGTAAGTATTTTTCAGCAAAATTTTTTGCCATTTTGCAAACAGAATGTGATAACCTATCTTTTTTTTAAAGCTAGTAGAGAAATTTAAGGAAGATACATCTGCCCTGGTAAAAAGACTGAGACTTACTTTCGTCTCATCCTGAGGAAGACCCCTTTGAAAGGCAGAGCCACTAACACTGTGCAAACGACATTATTTCCTTACTGACTTGAGATCCAGCTGCTGTGAGTCCCATCTGGCTCCTGATGACATTAGTAGCAGAACTCCTATCCATTAACAATGGGAATGGAGTTGGGCTTTCAAAAGTCCAGACTTACCTCTGCCGTGCTTGAGTGTTGTATCATTCTGCAACAGCCAAATTGAAATATTTTAAGAAGAAGCTGTGCATGGTACTTTTATCTGTATAAACTGTATAAACTTTTATCTGTATAACTATGGTTAAGATCCCTCAAGCAAATAAAATAGTTCACGTCAGTAGGATGAAAAGCTCTAGAGACTGTCCCGTGGACTTTCCTGAAAGGGCAAGCCACTGCTTTAAAACATTTGCAAATATGTCAGTTTCTGGAAATTTTGAAATAAAGTTCTGAACAAAAAAAAGGGGGAAAAAAAGGTATTACTTGAAATAAATTTCCCCTCACTGTTACAGTAAACACAGAATTCTTAAATACCTTTTCTTCCCCTCTGTAACTTAAAAATAATCCAAACATCAGAGCAACTGCTTGTTTTAAAAATCTATTATTGCTTCAGTAACAAAGTTAAGAGTTACAACCAGAACTGTGAGCAAAAATAGATTCAGTTGACCAAAATCTGTCCCCTGAAACCCAGGGGAGTTCTGTCCACTGATGATCTAGATTGAACTAAGTAGATCACAGATTCATTTCTTAGTGAGTATGTGACTGTATAAGAGCAATATAAAGCTTTAGAACGTCTCAGAAGCACGTGCGGAATATGAATGGTTTAGGTATTAGTTTATGCAACTCTTGCTAATCTACTAATATCAATTTTAAGTAATTCTTCATATCTTATGTTTGAGCTATTGCGTATCAAGATACAAATCAGATTAATTTATTTTCAGGGTACATGAATTCTGATCTTGTGTATATCCTAAAACACTCTGCCTGTATAACTCATTTTCATTTCTGCGGATATCCTTTGCTAATTCTCTCCTTGACCTGCTTTCTCTTCCTTTTTTACTTCCCCAAGCAGAACTGGTTGGAAATCTTTCAAAATGTAAGTGAAAACCAAAGTTTTTTCTGAGATGCAAATGTTATCCATTTCCTGACCAGTTCCACCATAGATGCCTTTCTTCTGAAGTGTATTGCTATTTCCTTTCCTCCCACTTTTTTTAAGTGATTTCTTTTTTTCACCTTTCTGTGGTCTTCTGTTTTTCTTTGTCATCATCCCTGTTCACAGTCATTCCCTGTGGGGTGCTAACCCCATAGTAGTACACCTTCCCCCAGGACATTGCTTCTGTAATCCCCGGGCCTTTACTTCCATTTTTATGTTTTTTTGAAAGGATTGGGATCTGGAGTAAGTCCCACGGGCAGAGCTTTTGAATCCAAATTATAGCCCCTTTTTGTAAAAGGAAACACTAGAGACTCAAGAGCGGCGCAAATCAGGGATGTCTTTTTGGCATGTGGTTGCTCTGCTCCATGGAACTGTAGCTTTCCTTTTATTGATAGTCTCTCAATACAAACTAACAAATAGGAGTGGATCCAATAACATGAAAATGGGCATCTTGATTTAAATCCCATCTGTTACAAGCCTTGTTCACTAATAACCTAGTCAGTAGGAATCCCATTTGAGTTCTCACCTATTCTGTGTTTGCTTCCTTGGAGCAAGAATTTATTGCCATTTTTTAATGGGAATTTAGTAGCATGTGATTTTTATTGAGCCACATTGCTCTGACTATTAGTAAAATCAAGTAACTTTAATTTTATGCTAATTTATGATAATTTTTAACATCTTTAAATGTAAATTTACCCTAAAAATGAAGAATCTGTCACTTAAAATGCATCACATGCTTCCTTGTAATGACTGATCTTAAGGAGTTGGTTATAAATTCACCTTACAACTAGTTTAGTATGGATGATTTCTTCTTTTAAGCATTTGGCATCCTCTAATGACAACCCCTGCAGTGGCAAACCATCACAGAGTAAATGCAGCTGGCTTGCTGCACAATCATGAATGACATTGCATTTAGTTATTAATAATTGAAGGAGCTTTGTGTATTCCTTCTGGATTCTGTATATAATTTATGGATCATAAAGCTACTCAAAAATCTAGGGGAAAATAATTTTCTTGAGTAAAAGAGGTTGGCAAGAGGCTTTCTTTGCTAATAACTGGGCCTTCTATTATATACATTTCTTTGAAAATACTGTAAATAAGAACATTTGGAATGACTGATTAATTTGCTACCTTCTAGCCTTGCCCTGTCACTGATTCTTATTTCAGCAAGTTCTACAGACGAGCATTTAGATGAATAGGAAATCTTATATTTTCCACCTTTCAGCCTTACCTTTCAGAAATGGATAATACCTTGCTGTTTCTTCTGTAAAGAAACCAGACATGACGTCCATTCCCTGAAACCTAAAGCACTTGCCCATTTTTTAAGTAGAAGACCAGTAATACTCTGGACATGCCACTGTGCCATTCTTCTTAAGAAATATCTATGTTCAGTGTGTGCGTTTAATCCAACACTGTCATGAGTGTGCAAAAGCACTGTAGTGATAGTGTGAAGATGGCAAGACTAGATTTTAAAGCAGTTTATCATGTGAAAGTTTAAACAGTCTTGCTTGTTTTGGTTTTTTTTAACTGATAGAAGGGTTCAATGCTGGTGAACTAGCGGGTGGCAATGATGATGCCTTTACTCAATGATGAGCATCCTCCTCTCCTTTTTTTCAGC